TCGACCGAGGAGGTGACGACGTTCCTACATCTCATTGGGGATGATACAATCCAGCGGGAGCTCGACGGAACAACTCGAAATGTGAACAAAAACAAAGCCGATCGCCCCGCCTACACTGCGTTGCTACCCCAGTAGGCCATAAGGTGAACCCTGTTATCGTTTCAACCCGCTCCACAGAAGTGAAACTACACAATCTTTAGTTCATAAAAAAGAACGAGTCATGCTTATCCACCAAAAAAAATATCGTCGCTAAAATTCCTGCCAATTCTTCTAGGCACGTAATTATTGGCTGAACTAGTCCCTTCGAAGCGTAATAATATCTTGGTCCAAAGTCGTGCCACGGTTCGTCACGTGATCGTGCTACACCAATTGGGTAGCTGCATATTGTCAACAGAAGTGAAAGATGGCGGCCGCCATGGTTACGCTAAACCAGACCAAATGGATTCTAAACAGTGCTGTATGCTTGTTTTATGTCATGTTTTGTCATATGTCTTAATACATCACTAAGTCCGAGGTATTTGCGTTATATACGCGGTATTTGTGAGAGGTTTTACTATCTGGGAACAGAGTTGACCATCGAATCAACATTGACTAGCAGCGTTTATCAGCCAACTCCAGCTACAAACAATTTCCCCACGGGGATTAATAAAGTATATCAAACTCATATTTATCAAAACTATCATTCCTGGACTGCCATGTTCACATCGCTAGGTTCATTGGGATTATTCCATTAGACTGAGGACTTTTTGTCTGTCTGTTGTTACCCTGTACACGTTAAATGCACTCTTAAAATAAACATGACTTGATTTCTGCGTCCAAGAAGAAGGTTAACTTGTTACGTTAAGTAATTTAGATCAATAAAATGCAGTACTTCCAGGCTGAAGACTTTTCTTTTTGTTGCTGCTTTTAATTGAACTATTCATATCTTAGACTGCACTGTAACTTTTATCCATGTATTTTTTCTTTTAATGTTTCTTTTATTAGCTTTTCTTTGAATGACTGATTTTAAATGCCATTTTCTTAATGTCTTTAATTTTTTGTAAAACACTTTGAATTGCCTTGTGTTGAAAAGTGCTATATAAATAAACTTGCCTTGCCTTACTTATACCAATGTCCATTGATTCATTTATTTACTCATTCATCCCTCCACAAATGAAAACAACACTGATGAACCATAAAAACGAGATTTATTACAAATATAAAAGGTATGACATAGAAAACAGTAGAAGGACATGTAATGTAGTATAATTGATTGGTGTCAGGCTGGGCGGAGCGGCTGATTGGTGCTGTGATTGCCTCAGCTGGTTAAAAGAGTCCTGCTGATTATACTCTGTTCTAGTACCAAAAACAAACGTATCTATGAGTGATGTGTGAGCGCGTCGGCCAGGCACTAAAACCAAAAGAACAGAAAAGAGCTTAAGAAAGATGGAAAGAAGGCTCTTTTATTCCTATTCCTCACTGTCAGTGTCAGGGCAGTCATCGTTCTCTTCCTCTGTTTCTTTTTTATTTGCACAATTTGAGCAACGACATAAGTCTGTGCAACAGAGTCCTGCAGAGAAGCATGAACATCTGCCTTTCTCACAGGCAGACTCTTTGCAGCTGCAGTGTATCACATGCAACACACTGTCAGGGGGCAGGATTTCTTGTCATCCAGGTGACGTGTAAGTTCCCATCCTCTATTTCCCAACCATATCCAGCAGGTGATGGAGCATTCATTTCTCTTTTGAGACAGGACCTCATTATTGCTGCCTGGTAATTTGCCCTTTTGCAGTGCTGATGGAGGGCATCATGAGTAGGGGGAATGCTTAATTCTGGCAAGGCCGATGATGCCATACAGAAAGCCTTGTACCTAGCATCATTTACATGTTCGGCTGCTGGCTGATCATACAGGTGACATACATACCGGCAAAGAAGTGCAAATGTTGATTGCTCCAAGTCAAAGTTAGTACCTAAACTTCTGAAAGCCTTAAGGTAGTCATCTTTCTCACATGCAACAGCAAATGACTTTCTTTTGCCTTTGCCATAGAAAGCGCTTGTGGAGTCACACCCAGAGAACGTGTGAATTCCAATCAAGGCTGAACACACACTGGTTCCGAGAGCTGATGACACCATGGCAATGTCAATGATCCGTGTCCTGTTGCCAGTCCCTGTGAACACATATAAGCTGCATGGCAAATCTGCCTGCAGACTTACAGCAATGACTGCCACATCAGTGTCCGAGCTCTTGATGATGACAGCTTTGTGCTCCTGTGCAGCATGTTGGGCATGTAAAAACACCCGTGTGTCACATTCCTCATGATCACACTGCAGGTCTTCAACAACATCAACAGACTGTACACCCTCCATGACAGTTACACAGTGGCATTGATTTTGATGGGCAATGTACAAGCTGAGGTTTTTACCCACTGTTGTGAGGTCTGCATGTGTCCATGCCACATAAAGGAATTCGGCCAGTGCTTCCTTATTTTTTCCGGCAGAGAGAAACTTCTTCCACTGGGTTGGAGTTCTCTGATCTGGGCTGAAGATTGTTATTAGTTGTGACCCTGCATCAGCTCTACGGGACCGTTCTAGGCTTTTGATGCTGATGGGTGGATACCGGTCAGTGACAAAATCAATGCGTGTACACTTGTGATGCAAAGCAAGTTGGAGTATGCTCTGCAGTATGGTCTCTGCAAGCTCTCCAAATGTTGCTGGTCTGGATGGCATGGCCTGCATGACTGCCATGCCATCAAAAAGAATGGCACCACCTATTGGAACTTTGTCAACCAAGCACTCTCCACCTTTGCTCTGCAATAGATCCATGAGAGCTGATTTGTTTGTTTTGGCAAGTGAACCATCAGCACTTGCTAATGGATATGACACAGTTCCCAAGGAATATGACAGAATTTCCCTCATTTCAATTTTCCTGCTCTGGCCAAGGATGAGGAGCCTGGAAAATAACTTCTTGTCAGCACGCAAAATCAATACTGACTGTAACAGCTTTTGTGGTACCGCACCTCCAGAGCCACACAGTCTTTGTCTTTTATATGTAAAAGAACACTTTGGTCATCTTTCTTCTCAGCAGCTTTCTGCAATTTGCCTAAACGGAAAAAAAAGGACAACTCAATGAGTTTGTTGACGTATCTCTCACACATAATTGTACCTTTCAGTTATTCAACCACAGAGAATGTGTGTGTGTGTGTGTGTGTGTGTGTGTGTGTGTGTGTGTAGTGTGTGTGTGGTGTGTGGGTGGGGGAGGGGGTTTGCTTACCTGCTTTTAATGTTTCAGCCTTACACAGTTGATCCCTTTGTCGCTTGCCTGCTTTGATGATCATTTTCTCCTTCATCTTGCATATAATGCACAGGGCAGGAAGGACGGGGCCAGAGCCTGCGATTGGCAGGCCTGACCTTGATCGTAGCTTCTCTGTTTGACGTCGATGGGATGGGCTCGACCTCAAGGTCCTCCCTAACGTCTTGATCTCCCTCACGTGCGAGCCGTCTTTCCACCTTCGTCATGGCCTTTGTGTCGGTAAACCTTATGTAGCATGTGTGGTGGAAGCCAGCGTCCTCAGGAATATCTTCGAACTCGAAATCAAGACAGTGCTTGTGGTTTTCAGCCACCACGTTCCGAGAGTCTCCCTTCAAGCCGAGTGACCGTTGTAAGCTTGTCCTGTACGTATTCCATCTTGTATTGGTAAAACAATCAACCTTTTCGTGCTTCACAGACGTAATATGCATGTAACAATGTTTGTGTGTTGACAATTTTGACTTTTTGAGACTTTCTGGTGCGTTTTCCTCGTCTCCGCTACTCGATGAAACCATGGCGGCCGCCATCTTTCACTTCTGTTGACAATATGCAGCTACCCAATTGGTGTAGCACGATCACGTGATGAACCGTGGCACGACTTTGGACCAAGATATTATTACGCTTCGAAGGGAATAGTTCAGCCAATAATTACGTGCCTAGAAGAATTGGCAGGAATTTTAGCGACGACATTTTTTTTGGTGGATAAGCATGAATCGTTCTTTTTTATGAACTAAAGATTGTGTAGTTTCACTTCTGTGGAGCGGGATTTCTTTTCTAAAGGACTTTTCGAGGTTCACCTTGCGGCCTACATGACAAGCA